AGGCAACAACTAGTCCAAATATAAACACCCTTTCCCCCCTGCTTCCAGCTTCCTAACATCTTCATCCTGTTGCCACCAAATTATCAGCTGGCTCACTCTCTCAACTTCCGTATCTATTCCTGATTTTTCTCAGAGTATTCCTGCAGATTCCTCACTCCCATCTTCTCAGTGTCTTTCCACCATCTCGTTCTCATTTTCCCAGTGTCTTCCCATTACTGTCATCAATCTTCTTGCCAACCCCCTCCCATCTTCAATTATATATCTTACAATAAGTATAAAAGTTAGATATTTTATTCAATTTAGCACAGACAAAAATGAAGCATGACTCAGAAAAAAATTAACTGGTTCCATGAACCACAGAGATAACACCTTAAAATGTAGGTATTATATCTATGCCTATACAACTCCATAAACACATATATACTGTACATAGGAAATGGCCTGGACTGACAATAAAATGCATTTCTTTCAGATAGATAGATAGATAGATAGATAGATAGATAGATAGATAGATAGATAGACAGACAGACAGACAGACAGACAGTCAGTCAGTCAGTCAGTCAGTCAGTCAGTCAGTCAGTCAGTCAGTCAGTCTCCCCCATACTCCTGGGGGAACACCTTTTTAAAAACAGCTAAACAAAACTAAAAATTAAAAGATATGCACACTAAATTAAATCTATATAAATAGGCAAGCATGCACATACATATATACACATCCATTTTAAAAAATCATATCTGACGCCTCTTTCTCATTCAAACATTTTGGACTCACAGGAGATTATTCTTATAATTAGATTATAGTTATTTTAATCTAACTGTATAATAATTATAGATTATTATATAAGATTATTTTTACAGTGTCCTTTCTTAACCTTCTAAGCCTCTGGAACAGATTCTACACTCCCTGGACATGGGTGGGATGCTCGCCTTCTACCTCTCAAATGCCCTCTTCGTTTGCTGTGAAAAAGTTCGAAAGGCTGTCAGTTTCTTCACAGCAGTGGTCTAAATAGATTGTTAACACTATCTTAATTGTGCTACCAAATAATTCAGAGGGCATTTGAGGTCACTTCAGAAGGGCTGAATTCACTTAAGTTACAGCACTTAAGCGTGTTTCCTTTTGACACCATGGATTAATTATGATACAAGTAAGTTTTCATGTATAGAACCATGTATGAAGTGACATTCTAAAAGTCAAACTATATCAATTTATCTATTAAGAAATCTTCGGCTCTCCAAATATTTTATACGACACTTTCTGTGTAACTTGCCTGAGTACCTGATGGAAGTGGAAATCAAAAATATCCGCAAGTCATATATTGCTTATCCCTGAACTACATATTATACTAATTTACACAGCATGCAACTGATTTTTTTCTCAACTAATGCAACATACAGGAAAGCAATTTGGATCAGACCGTGCATGGCACATTCAAATTTAAGACCTCGTATCTAAATTTCCCTTCCCTGAATATATTGTTTATTTTTGTCTAAAAGTATCAAGTCCTGCAAGACAGGCAATCTCAAGAAACAAGAACCATTAGATTTCTGGAAAAATCTTGATTGCTAGTTAGACCTTGAAAACCTATCAGAGTTATTGTTCTGCGCAACTTATACCTAGTGTAATTAAGGTAGAGTTACTCTAAGTCCTTTCTCACTCTTTCCCCCTCCCCTGAAGTCAAGAATCTCTTAACTGTCTTGCTGCTTGCTGTGTTCCCAAGGTCTGTTAAGCATTCCATCACATAAAGCCATTTGTAGAGAAACATAAGAAAAGAACCAGAGCTCTGTCTGAAATCCTTTCTTTTCAAATCATATTAGGATAAGTAAATTGCAAATATATAGTAATCCACATTAATGAGGTTTGGATCAATGTGGATCAGCAAGTAAGAATTTTCTGTCTATCAGGGTCAGGGTTGAAATAATGTTTTCATGAGCCTCACTGTTCTATATCTCTGAACAGTTTGTATCCTTACTCCTTGAGTGTGAACATCCTAGAAAGTGAAAATCACTTGTCATAGACTATAGCAAATCCCTGTCATTGTTCTCCTTGTTCATAATGCAGTGTGGAATTTTATTTTTTTTAAAAAGAACTACTTCTGCCTCAAAGATATGAAAACATGGTATCAAATTATTTGCAGTGTAAATCCGAAAATTGCTTATCTTTTTAATAAAGACTGTGGAGATAAATGAGTCATTTTCTATCATTTTCTGGGTTGACTCAGTATCTGTTTTTAGAAGTGAAGAAAATATATAAATCTATCAATTCTGTTTTGGAGAGAAGGGTGTTGCTGGTTATATGTGTGACTAAAACCTCTCCTCCCATACTGTTGTATAAGTGTAACACAATAATTTATATATAAGCTTGTATTGAGATACTTATTATTAAATGAACACTTCAGAAAGTTGCTTGGGTTGTATATCTCAGTATTATAGTATGCTATGATTGCTAGGAATGTAGGGAAAGTATTTTGGAACAAAGCTTTTTTAAGTTGGCTGAAGATTTATATTATGTAATATTCAGAAATTGCATACTAGGCCTTTTTCACTGTAAACAACCATATATTTTAAATTTTTCAATTATGAAAATGAAATAACTCTTTCACTAAAATTTATTTCTATTTCTGTGTGTCAGTAAAAATATGAGAGACACAGTACATAGATAGATACATACATAAGTATAGATACATTAGGATTGTGCAGACTATTCAGAGGGGCAGGCACTTGCCTTCAGTTACAATTCCAGCTAAAAGTGGCTTCTGTCTACAGGTAGTCATCGGTTAACAATGGCAATTGAGATTGGAATTGCCTTCGCTAACCGACGCGGTCATAAAGCACAACATTACGTGACTGCATTGCTTAGCAACAGCAATTCTGGCACTCCTAGTTCCTGTTGTTAAGTGAATCACCATGGGTCATTAAGGAAGGGTGTCACATGGTTGCCATTTGCAACCTCCTGCTGACTTCCCAATTGACCTTGCTTGTCAGAAGCTGGCAAAGAAGGTCACAGATTGCAACCACAGGACACTGTGATGTCATAATCGCAAGCCGGTCACTGAGCACCAAATCACAATCACATGACCCCAGGGATGCTGTGATGGTCAGAACTCTGAAGACTGGTCATCAGTACCACTCATTCAGCACTGTTGCAAGTTTGAACAGTTGCTAAATGAGTGGTTGTTAAACAGGGACCACCTGTCTGTTCAGAAGATCAAGAAAGGGCCTTAAACGTAGTCACGTCAGTGTTCTGAGCAGTGGGTTCAGAATGGTACTTAGCTTATTCTTTAGAGAACCCCTTTGAATGATTTGCCCAGCCCATTCACAGGCATATCCACTCACATATACATAACAATTGCCTGGATTTAAACTTTTTCTGATTTATGTAAGAGGCTGATTAAACAAAATTATAAATAGTGCAGTAGTGAGGGTATAGTTTCTTGAGTGTATTACTTTGCTAGTTATTATATAAAGTTGCCAGATAGAGCATGCCAGCTTAATACAAATATATGGGAAAACATTTATCTGCAAAGAATCAACTATGAAAAATGGTAATTCTGAACTAACATATGCTAGGTATATTCAGATTATGCTGTATATGTTAAATCTTTTAAACATCCCTAGCACATAAAGGTAAATTTACAAAACTATACATTTCCATCATTGTAGGAAAGTATATCTTAATCTAATCTACAGTTGCAGTACTTTATTTTGGTCCTTAGAGGCCTCTATGTATGTTTTTAAATTATTTCCAACTTTCCTTTTGTTCTCAGGATTTTTTTCTTCTCAAGTTATTGTAGAAGGAGCCTGTAGAATCATGTGAGGTTGTTCAAACAAATGGTCAAAATGCAGTTTGAAAATAGACTTTAACTGTGTGTCGTTTAAAGTTTTTCTCCAAAATATAATACTTTATTTAACTGTGTCTTGCTTAACTCCTAGGTTTCCTATGCCCGTCCAAGTTCAGCATCAATCAGAGATGCTAATTTGTATGTCAGCGGCCTTCCAAAAACGATGACCCAAAAAGAGCTAGAGCAGCTTTTCTCGCAATATGGGCGCATCATCACCTCACGAATTCTGGTTGATCAAGTAACAGGTTGAAAAAGATTTTTGGTTTATAAATGTCTAAATTTGCATTTATTTCTTTGATTCTTTTATTGAACTTCTGGAAGGGACTATTTATACTGAAGTGCAAGTTAACGATCAAGTGCATATTTTTATTGCTCAAGCTATATAAAAGTCATCACATATTTCAGTTTTATTAATACAAGGAGGTTTGGCTTTCAGGGAAAGGCTGGAATGAATATGTGAATTACACTTCTAAAAGATATGGAAATATTTGATATTCTAGATAGTGAAAGCAGCCAGATAACCACCTCTATTTTTAAACTTTGCATACATTTCAGCTTATATGACTAAATAAATGTTATACTGTATTTCTCTGAGAATCAATTTGCATAGTCGGTAGTATTATTTATAGTAGATGAGTACCTGGAACTTTCCTTTTACCCTCCTTCACTTATTTAAATCCCATTTTCTTATTCCAGGTGTTTCTCGTGGTGTGGGATTTATCCGTTTTGATAAGAGAATAGAGGCAGAAGAAGCCATAAAGGGACTTAATGGCCAGAAGCCAAGTGGTGCTACAGAACCGATTACTGTGAAGTTTGCTAATAACCCCAGTCAAAAAACAAGCCAAGCCCTCCTTTCTCAGCTGTACCAGTCCCCCAACAGACGCTATCCTGGACCACTCCACCATCAGGCTCAGAGATTCAGGTAATTGTCTCTTTGCATTATTATCCTATTCTATTTATTATGGTTAAGGTTAAACAATTTACTTTTTAAAAAAGACTCCTATGGAAATGCATGATTTCTCAACAGTAGCCAGACTATAACATTCAACCAAATGTTGCAAAGTGTGCAGATGTGAGATTCTTTTATGTGAGATCCTTCATTTAAAAATTAAAAAAAAAAAAAACCTTCCCACAAGGATGTGATTATCAGAGATTGGGAAGCAAGCACTAAATCCTCCCCCCCCCCATTTAACAGATAATGTTGGTATAAAAATATATACTTTACCTAATTAATATGTAAATATTTTTGTCTTACAAAGAAAAGGGAAAATCTTTGTTAGGGTTCTTAGAGTTGGACAGAAGTAATGAATTCTTAAATGTTCTTTATTCCTTGGCTGCCTTTTGTATATACTTGTTTCTACAATTGGACTTGCTTTTCCAGATAATTGTAACAATGAGCATCAGTATAAATTCCACTGGTACCAAGACTAGCTGAACATATTTTAAGTGAGCTGGAACTGATTATGACACTTCTAGCTGAATTATATCTGAATTATATTCTAGCCAAACTGAGGACAGATCCTGGGACTGAGCATTTCATACACTGTTTAGTCATAAAATCCATTATCCTTTCTTTGCGTCCTCTCTTATGTTGCAACCACAGTTGTTTATGGAGCAATTAGAACAGGTTCCAAGATTAGAAGTGGTTTTACCCTGAGGATGAGAGCCCTTCCAAAAGACCATTGGATTGCATCTTAGATATATTTGTAATATTTTTCAAAAGTAGGCTGTGGAACAATTTCATGGTATATATTCTATCGGTGGCAGTGTTTAGATATCTATAGTTTGAAAATAATATTTGCATTATGCAACATTCTTTTTAGAAGATTTAAAATATTGCATAGTATTTTAAACATTTACAGCAAAATTATAGAATTATTTGATATAGTTAATACTTGTTTTAAAGTTTATTTTGGACCATTTAATATATTTATATTATTTCTTAAAAGATCACTCACTGAGAAAAATATATATATACTTAACCTAATTAATACAGAAATAGGGAAAATCTTTATTAGCGTTATTTACTGATCAAGATAATATGTTTTTAGTTTTCTTTTACATCTGACAGGCTTTTAAAAGAAACTTCTTCCCAACCAAAAAAAAATATGTCTGCATAATGTGCAGATACAATCTGGAATCTTAAACAGATAAAGATAGAATGTTTTCTTGTTTTTCTGGCATAATTGTATTCAGTTGTTGAATAGCAATAACATATAAATAGTTGAACAAATGATAATTGTTAAATTTTGTATTAATACAGTGTGGGAAAACAAAATCACAACAAAATTCTTCTTTGCAAGATCAGATTCTGAGATTGTGGAATGTTACTTTTCTTCACTACAAGCACATCTAAAAATGGCATTAATTGATTGTAGTTTATAGCTACTGATTGATTAGACCCACTAGATGATGTTGAAATTCCTTCTTTGAAAATGGAGCATTATTAATAAAAGTTCCATTGAGCAATCTTGCCATCTGTGAGACATTAACCCAGGGACCCTCCTTCTCTTTTCAGGCTGGACAATTTGCTTAATATGGCCTATGGCGTAAAGAGGTAATTAGAATTCCAGATTGCCAGATGTCCATGTTGGCACAGATTGGTGCTATAATTTTTTTTTAATCACTAACTTTATTTTGTTTTTAATTCCTTCTTTTTTTCCACCAGCATGCCAAATGTTTTCTGTCTTTTCATTTGGACTTCAGTTGGTTTTCTTTAACAACATGCACAAGCACGTACAAAAAGTATGTGTAAATCTTTTATTTCATGTTTTCTGTTGTTACAGGTTTTTTGAGATGGTTTAGGTGCAACAGATACAAGTATTCTGATTCCAAAAGTGTTCCGTTTAATGTTTCGGAGGGGAGGTCATGTTTCACTGAATCGGAGTTTATTAATAAGCATTTAGTATAACAGCATACATTTATAATAGAAAATATGATTAAAATTAATATTGGCTAAATATTTCAGGGAGCCCATAACTTTTCTACTTATTTTTCTTAAACTGTAACTGTATGCACCTTAATCAGATCCAAGTTTTCTTTGTTACAGGTTTAACAGTGTTTCCAGTAATTTGGAGCTTGTGATTTTTCTACTTTTGGTTAATGGTTTGCTTGTTCTGATTTTGATTTTACTTTTAATTCAAATTTTTAAGGTGATATTAGTATGACCTTTTTGTTAATAATCCATATATATCAGCACAGAAGTTAAAGGAACACAAATCACAGAAGGATTACTTCACATATTTACAGCTCAGAAATGCTATATATCTAGTGACAATGGGCCTTACCAAACTTCTTACAATAGCATGAAATTGTATGTACAAAGGTTATGTGCAAAAATGCCAGTTCATTTTATCTCTCTTGAAAAACAAGTGTAAGTATTACATAAATGTGAAATATTGCACACAAACAATATATGTATGATGTCTTCTTGCATGTTACACTGTATGTACATCCTCACAGATAGATTATTCCAAGTTGTTTGGGGAACAACAAAAACCGGTAAGTACAATTTTTAGCTACCACAGCCATGCTCCCAGATGAGCACAATTTATTCAGAAAATTAGTAATATCTTTCTCATTGGTGATTATACAAGGTTTCATAGTTCAAATTAATTGTAATTATATAATATATAACCTGTCTCGGTTTGAACTGAGTTCTGCACCTTACATAATGTTGCTTATCCTAAAAGAGATAGTGTGATATGTATGTATATTCGCTGGATTGGTAAGAACAGTTGTTTCCTAAGTGCCAAAAAATGAATGACAATATCTTTATAAATAGCACTTAATGGAAATAGGCAATGGCCTAGAAAATAGCACTGTGTTAATCTTTTTTTCTAATAAGAACTTTATTGAGTTATAAAAAGCATAAGGATAAAAGCATACAAGAACTAATAATTGGGAAGAAAAGTAGAGAGCAAGAAAGTTAGAAATAGAGAAAGAATACAAAATAGAATGGAATGGAAAATAGATAAAAAGAAAAGAAGAAAAGAAATACAAAAAGACAAACTTTCAGCTTCTTATACAGCAGATATAAATGAATCATATAATAACCTCTTACTCTAAAACTATTTCTTGACATACATATTTTGTATAATCTATTAATCCATATATCATAATTTCATTTTTTTCTGTTTCCTGCAAAAAGTCCAAAAGGGACAAACTTTCAGCTTCTTATACAGCAGATATAAATGAATCATATAATAACCTCTTACTCTAAAACTATTTCTTGACATACATATTTTGTATAATCTATTAATCCATATATCATAATTTCATTTTTTTCTGTTTCCTGCAAAAAGTCCAAAAGGGGCTTCCAACTGGCATTGGAAGGGGAAGGGGCTGGGTTAATCTTCAGAGGGGTGATTTGATTCAAAGGAGCTTTGATGTGTTGTATCAGGTGTATCAGTTCAAAAATTCACTGTCTTTCTCACTTTGTAAAATCTCCAAATGTTGCTGCAACTTTTCTTCTGTATATGGATAAAGCTGAGGGAGCAGCCAGTGAATTTAATCATACTTCCAAACCATGGGATTTGTTGTTTGGGTTTCATTTTGGTGCTAGAATTAGGTTAGACAGATTCTGTAGAGGGTCAATGATCCAGAGAAAGAGAAGCTTATTCTTCTCCTTTTTAAAATCAGGATAGCTTTAAGATTCCCCTGAATCAAGCTCAACTCGTTTTTTCTTGGCAGCAGGATGACAGTTGTTCACCATTGCTCCTTCTGGAATTTTTGTTTTGTTTTTACTTCTCAGTATAATCTATAGCCCTGGTATTTCCTGATGGTCTCCTAACTAAGTACTAACCAGGTCCTACCCTGCTTTTTGGGTTGGTTGGCATGGTGCTGCCATCTACAGCCCATGCCTTTCCTTTCCTTACATCCATACCCTTTTTTCCTTATCTTTTTATCATAGGTTTATAGCATACTTCCTTTCAGTCTGTGCCCCATCTGTCTGCAGGTTTTTAGCTCTTTTAGTCACCCTTTATTTCTGTTTATTACCCAATTCCATTTTTTAAAAATCATGTATTTTCTTTCTTCCATCCCTTTTTTCCTTGTCTTGTCCTGATGAGTAAGTTTTCTTCATTGCGTGAGTGGATATGAGATGTTGTGACTGGCATGAGACTACTGCATATAACACACAGTGTGTAGACATGTATTATGTACACAGTAGCGGTAACTGATACACTTCTCAGCCTCTAAAAAATGGTTGCTCAAGGAGGATTTAATGTGTCATTCCAGAAGAGTGGAATGCCAGGGAACTATGCCAACAAGCCTGCCAGCCCAGAAAAGCATGTGGATGGAAGGTGATGGACTCTTTGATCTTTTGTAAGACCTTTTTCAGCAGTTTTTGAAACCAACTTTGAAGTTAGAGTAGGCATTATCTTCATTTATTCAGCACAATTTCTCTATATGGGCTCAGGTGAACAGTTTGGAAGTCCCTATGCTGTCCTTTCCTCACTCCTATTTTTGCCTAAAATAACATGGGGAGGGCAGAGGGGAGGTATTTAAAAATGTGTTACAATGTAGTGCTTGAAGCTTTTCCCGAAACTCCAGGGTTTGTGGTCATTATTGTGGCCCCATTTGGAGAAGGAGAAGGAGCAGAAGTTGTTTTGCTGATCTCCATGGAGCTTATGAACTAATCTTTTGACAAGGTGGCCTTCAGACCTCAAATATGAATTAAATCATACTACTCTTTGGATCATGGCTGATTTCCAATAGAAGTGAGTCCTACCAGAAATCAATAATAAACAACATACTTTCATTGAATATTTATTTATTTATTTATTTATTTATTTATTTTATTTGCTTGTGTGTATCCCAGTAATATATGAATAATTAACATTTGTAAATGTAAGCATACATTTTATAGATGAAATTTTGTTCAATTCTCCAAAAAAGAGCACTCAGAGGTTCTTATCTTTTCTGACATCTTTTAATGTATATTTGCAATTTCAGGACATTATTTTATGTTGACATTATTATCTGCCCAGATCATTCAGGAATGGGTGACATACAAGCACAAAAAACAAATAAATAAACTAGGTTAGATTCATACCTTGTTGCTAATTGCATGCAATTCAGCTCCCACCAATAAATAATATATTAATCTGGTTCAGGCAGCATCTTAAGCCATATTTTGTTTTTAGTTTAATGCTTTAAAAGATTACTTATTTGGATTTGGATTTTTTTTCTTTTTTGTCCTGTATCTTAACGGTCCTTAATGAAGTTCTTCATATTGTGCTAAGAACTGCTAGGGATCTGGAATGGCCTGTGTAGGTACCATTCTATGGACATTGGGTCTGAATGTCCTACAGGGCTGATAAAACTCCAAAATGGGCTACTATGAGTAAGTGAGCCATATCTGTACTCCATCATCCTGCCCTGTCTTGTTATACAAATCTTGGGTTATACAAACCCAAGATAGTAACCTCCCCCCCCCCCCCCC